GTCAAGTTAAATGAAGGAGCGCAGACCTTTGACTTTTATCAAGATGATTCCACTTCTCTGCTGTCTGCAAGTGAGCAAGACACTGATGCTGACATGTCCAGCTCCAGAAACACCAAGCATGTTGATTCCCATAAAGCAATGGACAGAAACAGGAACCTCTTACTCTAGCAGGAAAGGGAGACTGAAAAGTTTCTCTACTTCTATGGCCTGAGAATTAGCCAGAACTTCCTTGTTGGTGAGTCATAGAAACTCACCAAAGGGGAAAAAAACAAAAACAAAAACAAAAAACAAACAAAAAAAACCCTGAACTCAAGTGGTTTATTTTACCTGAAAGTCGAAGGGGGGTAGAACCAGCTGGCTAAGGCATAGCATGTTCTGAGACAAAGTTGAAGATGCTATTACCAAGCTCCACTCCCCTCTCTCTGTCGGCACCACTTTGGGTCCACATGATGATGAGATGGCTGCCAACAACCACAGCCAGTGTTTAAGTCCGGGGGCGGGGGGGGAAGCTATCTCACCTCAGGGAGGTTTTTTTGTTTTGTCTTGTAAGACCCATTTATTTTTATTGGAAAGACAGATCTATGGAGAGAAGAAAAGACAAAAAGAAAAATATTTCATCTACTGGTTCACTTCTTAAATGGCCACAAAGACCAGAGCTGAGCTGGGTTGAAGCCAGGAGCACTCTCCCCACCCCCAGTGACTTTAGTTCAGGCAGTGAGAGAGGGAGAAGGAAAGAGGGAAGCATCCTGAAAAGGAATTCAGGATTACATGAAAGAGAGAGTCTTTGGCATATAAAATCGGGAAAGGATATAGACAATGAGAATTTACAGGGAACCTAGAATTATATCTAACTTAAAGCCATGCAAAAGTCCCTGGAATAATTCTATGTAGTATATTCAGTTTTTGTTAGTTTCAAATTTATAGATATGAAACTACGTATAAATCTTTCAGGGACCAGTTCTTTGGCATACTAAGTGAAGCCATGAGCATCCCATACAGGCACCAGCTGGAATTCCGGCTGCTCTACTTCCCATCCAACTCCAGATTTATGGCCTGAGAAAGCAGTGGAGGATGGCCCAGGTGCTTGGACCCTGCACCCACGTGGGAGACTAGAAGGAGCTCCTGGCTCCTGGCTCTGGATCAGCTCAGCTCCGGCTGTTGTGACCACTTAAGGAGTGAATCAGTGAATGGAAGATCTTTCTGTCTCTCCTCTCTATACATCTGACTTTCCAATAAAGATTTTAAAAAGAAGGCCCAGCACAGTAGCCTAATGGCTAAAGTCCTCACCTTACATGCTCTGTGATCCCATTGGGCCCCGGTTCATGTCCTGGTTGCTCTACTTCCCATCCAGCTCCTTGCTTGTGGCCTGGGAAAGCAGTTGAGGACGGCCCAAAGCCTTAGGACCCTACACCCATGTGGGAGACCCAGAAGAAGCTCCTGACTTCTGATTTTGGATAGTCTAGAGTGGTTGGAAGATTTTTCTCTCTGTCTCTCCTCTCTGACTTTCCAATTTAAAAAATCTTAAAAAAGAAAGAAAAAGAAAAAAAAAAAGGATTTTGTACTTTGCTAACAACTTGAGCTCTTTTTTTAAAAAAAGATTTATTTATTTTTATTGGAAAGTCAGATATACAGAGAGAAGAGACAGAGAGGAAGATCTTCCATCTGTTGACTCACTCTCCAAGCAGCTGTAATGGCTGGAGCTGAGCCTACCCAAAGCCAGGAGCTTCTGGATCTCCCACGTGGGTGCTGGGTTCCAAGGCTGTCCTTGACTGCCTTCCCGGGCCACAAGCAGGGAGCTGGACAGGAAGCGTGGCCTCTGGAACACAAACTGGTCCCCTTATGGGATCCCGGCACAGGCAAGGCAAGGACTTTAGTGACTAGGCTACCGTGCTGGGTCTGAGATCTTAGTGCAATTATGTGTTGAGTGAATTCTATCTATCTCGAGGGATTCCGTTGTGTTTTCTGCACTTTGGTGCACTAGCAGTCAGTGTGCAGACAAGAAACTACTCAAGGTATTCAGAACCGATGGAATTTAATGTCAGGAAATGACCACACAGGTAAGGGCGGATGGTGAAGCAGCCGGGAGCTTAGCAGCTACAGAAAACCCCATGTTCCATCAGCAATGTGATGAGTGGCGATCGCAGGGCTGCATGTTTGGGGCTGTCTTAAACGAGTGGTTGCCAAGGGAGAGAACAGGAGGTCCCTGACATCATCAGCTGCAGGAGGAGGGGAGGGAAGAAACACCTGGCCTCACCCTTGCCCTTCCTCCTATCTTCAGCCAGACCTAGAAGTCACACAGCAAAGAAGTCTGGGAAACAGGGATAAAGAACAGAGCCGATGGATGACTGGCGCAGCGCCCTGCCAATCCCGCAGGGGCTGGGAGAAGTCAGCTGGGAGGAGTCAGTGTTCTGGTTCCTCCCCTCAGACCCTCTCCTATCCCTCAAACCTAGCTCAGCCCTCACCTTGCAGAGGGAGTCACACCGCTGCAGACTGAACCCCACGGAATAATAGCATCATGTCCATGTTTGGGGTGCAGAGACACTCTGGTCTATGAATGGAATCCCGTGATTTTCCTTTTGCAAAAATGCTTCATCTTCACAGAAAAGTTGCTGACTTTACCTTTTAGAGTAAACAAAGCCAAGTGGTTGACCATGGGTCTAGGTGTCGGGAGCTGCTCTCTGTGTGCAAGTTCACCGTGTTTTCCCACTGTGTCCACTTGAACTCGTCCACAAGGCTTGCTGGGAAGTTGAGGGCCAAGTGCTCTCCTCCCACTTTTGCTCCCTGGCTCTGTGGTCCCATCAGACAGTCCACAGCCTTTCAGAGGCGCAGGTCGTGAAACAGCCACCCAACTTAGCCCTGTTTTCTGTCCTTGGCTCCATGCTTCTCTTACTTATTAGAATAATAGCACAAGAGAGGTGAGCACCGTGGCATAGTGAGTTAAACTCTGGCCTGTAGAGCCGGCATCCTACATACATGGGTGCCAGTTTGAGTTCAGGTTGCTGCACTTTCAATCCAGCTCCCTGCTGATGCATCTATGATGGCAGCAGATGAGCCAGCTGACGCCAGAAACTTGGAACTCCACATGAGTCTCCCCGCGGGTAGCAAGAGCTGAGATACACCCGGCCCATCCCCTGCCCCCATTCTCTCACACCTCACTCACTTACCCTCTACACACACAGGCACACAGGCAGTCCTCCAGACTTGGCCTTGCTCAAACCGTAGTTAGCCTGGCATTTTGTTTCCTAAAGAATAGAGATAGTTAGGATTTGGAAATGACCCTAAGACCTCCCTGGAGGGAAATATGGCCCACATATGTGTTAATAACTGAGTAGTCATTCTTGTTTTTGGAAATGCTTTGGGAGAAAAGGGAGGGAAGCAAGCCTTAATTTGCATGTGAGACAAAGGCTGTCTGAGTCACATCAGCTGACGGGTCATGTTGTAGATTGAAGGTGTTCCCCAAAGTCCTGGTGCTCAACGCAACAGCCCTGCAAGGTGTGGCCGAAAAGGGGGTCACTTTGCCCTCAGGAATGGAACAAAGTCACAGGCTTAAAAGTGAGTTGTCACTGTGGGGTGGGATTCATACAGACCCAGGCTCTGCCCGCTTACTCTCTTGCCCGTCCACCTTCTACCATGGCATGATGCAGCCGAAAGATCCTCACTGGATCCTGAGCAGATGTCAGGGCCATGCTCTTGAACTTGCCAGGAGCCAAAAAAATCTCTTTCCTTTATCAACTATCTGGTCTGCTGTATTCTGCCATAACAACACGAAACAGACTAAGACAGATGGTGAGGGGGTGCAGAAAAGGTAGTTCCCACGGCACACCAAACTCAGGGTAGCAAACTGTCCAGCAAGAAGAGGTTCAGATGTGAACGCTGAGGACAGACATCTTCCACCGGTTCTGGTAGGGTCGAGAAGCAGGGGTCTGAGTCCCGCCTCTGCTGGAACTATCCCTGACAGCAGGAACACCAGGCATGACCTGAGCACACCCTTCACTTGGCATGTTCCTGTCCTTCATGGTAACGAGCTTAGGCTGATCAGCAAATGTCACTATTATGACTGGGGTGGGAAGACTCAGCCAGCCCCATCAGGACCTGTCTTAGGATGTGCACTGAGAACTGGGGAACACAGATGCTTGCTTTCTCTGGAGGATGTGGTCAGGGGTTTGTAGTTAAGCCCCTGTGATTCCCAGCTCCACCTCTTGCTCTGGGAAGCCCAGGGCCCCCCTCACTCTAAAGTAGGCATGATCGTAGAACTTGCTCTAAGCTTGGGGAGACAATGAGTAAAGACAGCCAAGAGAGAAAGCACTTCGCAAAGTGTTGGGACTGCAGCAAGTGCCCAGTAAACCTTCACAGAGATTCTTGGCCTCGGCCTGGAATTATCACAGCTGCTAGGAAGCAGTTAGCCCGAGGACTGTGGAATCACCCCCAGGAGGCCTGCCTTGCCTGAGACTTTGACTTCTTACCACCATAACTTACTTCTTCCTCAAGACTAGTGTGGGTGAGCACTTCAGACACCTGCAGTGGCAAGAGTCCTTGCTGGGCAGAACTGAGACAAGCCAGGTGGCTCCTTTATCCGTCTGATGGCGCCAATAGCAGGTGAGAGAGCAGAGAGCGCCATCGGGGCACCGCGTCCCTGCCCAGCACAGCACATGCACTTGTGCACCTTCTCCGCACTCCCAACCATCCTCCTCCTGTGGCTTCCTCAAAAGAACCCACAGTCCAGTCCTCCTAACACACACATCCTCAGGAACCAGGCACATCCCTCAGCCGTGCCCCCTTTCCTTGCTGCAACCCCGCTCTACAGCTCCCCACCCGTCTCCTCACACCCACATTGGACCCATCTACACCAAGGACCCTTGCCCATAAAGCACAGACACAAAGGCCTGAATCTAGAAGTGACTTTACTGTGTCTGGACTTGGATTTTGAGCAAGCTGGGGGAGCCTGGGGCCTCTGGCCCCAGAAGGGAGAGGCGTGGTCAATGAGTAGCTGGTGTCCTTCTCTAAATGATTTGGCACCGGCGTGGACACATCGGGTCCCTGGATATGCAGTTCAAGCCCACTTGGCAAGGGCAGATGAGATTGTAGGCTCCTTTGGTCTGCAGGGGTAGGCAGGAGAGAGAAGTCACAGGGGTGCAGCGGGGAGGGGAGGGGCGGCAAAGGCTTTCTGCAAGAAGCCGAATCTTACAGCTTCTGCCTGTGTGACCCGAGGCACAGTAAACAACCTCTCTCTAGCTCAGTTTCCATCCACATCTCTCACATGGGGATAGCAGCAACCCGTTGTGAGGACTGCAGGACATAAAGTGGACTCCAAAAAACAGTGCACCTGTTACCCCTGCTGTAGGCTTAGCCTGGGCAGGAACCCACCTAGTTTCTGAAGGTCCTGGCAGCTCCCCATCCTCCCACAAAAGGTTTGGGCTTGGGGCCAAGTGATCTGGAACAAGACATTCTGCTCCCTGCGCTGTCTCGGCTATTGATAGCTGTGCTTGGTCACATGCTCCCCCTCCAAGGCCCAGGCCAGGTAGGTGCTTTAGCCTCACATAATGGGTCAGGGAACGGAGGTTGCAGCCATAAAGTTAGGGAGTCCAAAAGCCTGGATTTAAAGCTCCAAACTGTGCCCCCCCCCGCCTCTGCAGGTCATTATGGCTGGGAGGGGACAGAGGCCTGGGCCTTCTGCTGTCCACCTTGCTGGAGATGTGCCTGCAGTGAACACCTGCTGTTTGCAGGCGCCAAGCTGGAAGCAGGACTCTCCTGAGGGAATATGAGGCCATCTCTGCTTTTGTGGAACCAGGTAGGGGAGGGAAGCACATGTAGGAAGCTGAGTTGCAAGTGGAATAGCTTAGGCTCATGAACCAGCGCTCCTCTGTGGGTACAGATGTGTCACTCCTGCTGTGAGGACGAACCCACAGTGGGTTCATCTAGAGGAGGTGGACCACCCAGAGGAGGCGGTCCAAAGCTGCCCTGCAGGACCAGCATGGTGGAAAAGGGAGAAAAGGCTTAGGAGGGATAGCATTCACATGAACACTCCCCACCCCTGCCGCTTCTCACCTGGGGCAGGCACACCTTGTTGAATCTGGCTTTGTGGGCACAGAAGTTTCGGCTAGAGTCCAAGTCCATGAGGCAGCAGTTGCTGAAACACTCATTGTGGTGTGAGCACTTGACTCCGTAGCCCTGCAGGGACAGGCAGGGTGTCCACCAGGCTGGGAGGACTTCTGGGCCACCAGCTCTCTGGCCAGGAAGGCTCTGGGCATTGACAGAGAACCCAAGTGCCTTGAGGAAGTCTCCCCCTGCCCGAGGACCCCCGGCAGGAAGCAGGGGAGAGCTACAACCAGGGCTAGCACCTTCCCTCTGCCCCTTCTTTCTTAGGGTTTCCTCATCTCTGCGACTGCCAAAGGGTATTCAGACAGAGGTTGGAGGAGCAGGACAGATATTCTGGATCACACTTTGATGGGAGGGGCAGACAGGGAGGGAGAGAAAGGGGAAGAAGGGGTCTCTGTACTGGAAGGACCACAAGGCAGTGGGGAGGGTCAGGTGCAGGGAGAAGAACCTAACAGGTGTTGGATGGCATGTTGCCAGAAGGTATCTGTGGGAGAGGAAGTTAGCCCAGGACTGAGAGAGCCAGGAGGGGGTGCATGGGTGATGTCAGGCCTAAGAACCATCTCCCTCCCTTCCTTCCAGGGCCAGCGGGTAACCCAGAGATTTGACATCCCTTTGGGAGCCCCTGCCCCCAAGTTTGTGATAGATCCCCAACCTGAGGAAGGCTCCTGTGGTGCCTGTTCTCCCTCCAGAGCTCCCGGCAGACGGAGCTATACACTCCTCTCACCTTTTTCGACTTGGAGAGCTCAGAGCACCCTGGCAGCAGCATACCCAACAGGATTACCAGGGCCATGGCCATGGGCCTGGATGGCCAGGGGGCAGTCTGCCTGTCTCCTCAGCCCCTGGCCTCCTCTCTCTTTGTTCCCGCCTCCCTGCCGTGACCTGGCACTTGCCCGGTCACCCTTGTAGAAAGAAGAGGCAAGAGAGGGCAAGAGATAATGGGCACGGACTGTGCTGCCCAACTCAGCCTCAGCAGCCGTGGGAGGGGAAGGCACCGAATACAGACAGACAGGCAGGCTTGCCTCCAAGTACACACTGTAAACAAAACTGCAAATAAAACTCTAATAATCCCCCTACAGGAATACGTGGACATTAGACTAGCTGCCCCCTTGCTGTTCTGATGGGGACCATAGGGTACCAAGTCACTCAGCCACCTTCTGGCAAACCCAGCATTGCCCTGTGATGCATACACCTCCCGGACCCCTCAGGCTTCCCTCTGTGAGGAACAGGAAGTGGGACAAGGTGATGTGCCAAGCCTAGAGGCTTTCTTTATCGCTGGGGGAATTGTCTGATAGAGGAAGCAGTTAGGGAGAAGAGGGAATGGAGGGGCAGGAGTCCAGGGGAGCTGCTTACAGCCATTGGGGAGCTGGGGCACGGGATGGACCTTTGGCAGGCCTCTTCCCAGCAGGCTGCCCCTGCCTGGGCCTCAAGTTGTTCCCCCAAAAGTGAAAAAAACATGGTGGGAAAAATGAGGGACATTGGGGGGTGAAGAGGCACTGAGTTCCTGGCCCCAGGAGATGGGTACCGTGCTGAGCTTTCAAGAGGATGACACAGAGACAGCAGGAACTAAGAGACAGAAATGGGTTTGGGCGGTGGTGAGGAGTGGAGCCAGGGGAGGGCCCTGCAGGGAGAGAGCTTCCAATGGCAGAGGGATAGCCAGGGGGCATCGGAGCAGAGGTTGGGACTGGGAGTGGGAGTGGCCCAGCTGCTCAGTGGAGTCAGGGTGGTAGAGGAGTTCACCCTCAGCCTATGAACCCAGGGAGTAGGGTGGAGCCACAGTCTCCCAACGGGGGGCGGGGGGCAGCCAGCAGAGCCACTCCCCCAAAGCCCCAGTTCCTAGTCTACCTTACCCACAGCTGCCCCGTGAACCAGCACCAGCTCAAGACACAGGGTTCTATGTCCCCTCCTGCTGGGCCAGGCTGGTCCTAGGGAAGGGGCTGTCAGCTCCGCAGAGCCCACTGGAGGGCACCGAGACTAGGCTGTGACAGGCTAGCCTGTGACGAGGACTTAGCTCAGCAGGGCTGAGTGCTCCTGACGGTATCCACATGTCACTGTTCATGCAGCACAGGCCTCCGGGGCTCTGGGCAGCTTCAGGGCCCCACAACGAGCAGGGCCAACCCTGGTTCCTGCCTACACTGCCTTCCTCCAGTGGACACACAGGCTCACGACACCTGCTGACCAAGCCTCTTCCTTCTGTTCCCTGAAGGAGGAACCCACCCAGTGGCTTTGGCAGGGCAGGCCCCTGGCTCCACCCCCAGAGCCGTGAGGCAATCTCCACTCCTGTGGCTGTAAGTGAATGAAATTCAAGTCAAACACACATTTTATTTCACTGAATATCGACTTGAAAGATACAGAGGACAATGCTTGTGGCAGCTGGGACCAGATCAGGCCGAAGACAGGCCAGCCCTCCCCAGTCAGCAGCCAGGGCCCAAGTACCTGCACCTGCAGTCCAGTGCATTAGGAAGAAATCGAATGACTCACATAAACTGCACTTATGAACTGGCACTCTTATATGGGATATAGTGTCCCAAGTGGTAGATTCATGGGCTGAGCCACAACTCCTGACCCAAAAACTAGTCTTTTTCTTTCTTTCTTTCTTTTTTAATTTTTAATCTTATTTTTCATGACACAGTTCCACAGACTCAGGAATTTCCGTTTCTTCCCTCCCCGTTTCCCCTCCCTACCCCCCATGTGGGTGCAGGGAACCAAGGCTTTGGACCATCCTCAGCTGCTTTCCCAGGCCCTGAGCAGAGAGTTAGATGGGAAATGCAGCAGCTGGCGCACAAACCAGCATCCGTAGGAGATATTGGAAGGTGGAGGATTAGCCAGTTGAGCCATTACATCAGCCCCCAAACTAGTGTACTTGATAAAAACAACCAATTAACCCAACAAAGCCCAAGGGCTTCTGGGGTCCCATGACACACAGTTACACTGGCTGTCTCTGTCCTCACCTTGGCCTTCCTGGAGGCCCCACTTCCTCTCTGGGGGTTGGGGGTCACCTCTCTTTGCAGAGCCCTCCAGAGCATCTCCCTTCTTTTTGAAATTAATTTTTTAAATGGTTAATGGAGTTGGGGAGCAGACTATGTTAGCCCATGGAGCCCATGTGGGTACAGGGACCTGAGGACTTGGACCAGCCTTTTCTGTTTTCCCAGGCCATAATCAAGGATCTGGATTGAAAGTGGAGCAGCTGGGACAGGAACAGTGCCCACATGGGATGCTGGTGGCGCAGAGGCTTAGTTTATTATACCACCAAGCTGCCCTCTCTAAAAGAACTTTTTAAAAATGTATTTATTTGAATGGCAGAGTGACACGAGAGGAGAGAGAAAGGAGAGAGAGAGGAAGAGAGGACATCATCCATCTACTGCTTCACTCTCCAAATTACCAAACCATGGAAGCTGGTCCAGGCTGAAGCCAGAAGCTCTCAATTCCATTCAGGTCTCCCACCAGGTGGCCAGGGCCCAAGTTATTGGGATGTTACCCACTGTTTCCCAGGCCACCAAAGAGAGACATATTGGAAGTGGAACAGAGAGGACTTGAACAAGCATCGCTATGGGATGCAGGCAGTTGTTTTACCCACTATGCCATAGTACCACAGCACTCTTCCCACCCACAGTGGAATTTAAGATTCAGTTATCACCGTCCCACTTCCTTGACCTTCTCTAATAGTGGCAGAAGCAAGGGGAAGGTGCCTCCCTCAGCTACGGGCCCTGAGAAAGGATGCTGGAGCATAGGTATCTGCCCCCAGCCAACTAGCCAACTAGCACACGGTGCGAATGGGAAAAAACCTGTGTCGTTTTGCTGAGGTTGGGGGATGGTTACTGTGCTACAGCCCAGCTCATGGCAACGAGTCGGATGCCAACCTGCCACTGTGGGTTATCTCTGACCTCTGTGCCCAAGCCTGCCTTCTCCCAGCTCCCTGGAAATACCGGCTCCACCTTCAGATTTACACAGCCACAGGAGAGGAAAGGGATCCATACTCCCCGCTCCCGACACACAGACATGGAAGCAGGGTGTGCTGGGAACGGAGGTCACAATGAATGGAATCCCCTTGGAGTCTTACAGGCCACAGCTGGTGGAGCATCCCATAACTGCTCAGCCTTGTCTCTCATAGTCATTTATTGGATCTCCTTAATTTTATTCCGTGCTTTTGAAGTATGAATGACTAGGATGGCAGGAGGAGGACCGGGCTCCCAAGTCCTGGGGGCATTGCAGGCTGACAATGACCTTGCAGGCCTGGATCTGGACCTCCTCCTCAGGGTGGATGACCAGGGCCAGCAGCCGGTCTGCCAGGCGTGACTCATTCCCAAACAGGGCTTCGTGCAGGGACTGCTCGTTGTAATGCCATTTCACAGCACGGTAGTGCGGCGAATTCCGGCCCTCACTCAGTCGTTCGGCAAACACCAACACCTCAAACAGCAGACTCCCTGGCTGTGATGACTGGAACAGCTTCAGGAAATCAGGGTGCACCTGCAGTGGGCACGGCACAAGAAGAGGAATGAATCCCAGCAAGTTCCAAAACTTTTATTCTTTCATCCTCCTGTGGCCTCAGCGCCCTGATATGCCTACGTTGCAAACTCAATCGATTTTCCAGTTTTTTCTTTCATGACCATACTCTAACTTAACTGCCTCATGGTCCTAAACATGAGTGATATCATAGTATTGATTCCAGGAAATTTGTTGAGACAAAATTTAAGATTTAGTGTGTAGTGAAGTTTATTTCTTTCTTTTCTTCTTCTTCCTTTTATTTTTTTAAAGATCTATGTCTGTATTTAAAAGACAAAGCTGCAGAGAGAAGGAGATACAGAGAGAAAGATCTTCCATCTGCTGGCTTACTCCTTAAACAACAACAATGGCAGGAGCTGAGCCAACTCAAAGCCAGGACACCCAGGAGCTTCTTCCTGGCCCCCCATATGGGTGCAAGAATCCAAGGCCTTGGACTATCCTCCACTGCCTTCCCAGGCCACAAGCAGAGAGCTGGATCAGAAGTGGAGCAGTCAGGACCTATAATGGGTGGCTGGCACTTACAGATGGAGGATTAGCCTACTATACCACTGCGGTAGACATGATTAATTTTCATAAATATTGCATGCATGCTTGAAAGAAATGTTCATTTGATAACTATGGGGTGCTCTAGGTATGTCTAAAACCTCCAAGCTTATTGGTAATACACACAACAAGTATGTTATTTTGCTTTTTATCTACTAATTGCTGATAGAGTAGTTAGATTCTTCCAAATATCCCACTGTGGTAGTAGATTTGTTAATGTCTCCTTATAATTTCATCAAGTTTTGCCATGTGTGTTTTGAAATTATGTTATCAGATGCATACAAGTTTAGAGTTGTTTTGGCTTTCTGATGAGCTAAAACACTGATGATTACAAAGGAACACTCCCTGTCCCTAGCAATGCTTTTTGTCATGTGTTTCCCCTGTACTAAAATACTTCCATTCACTTTTGCTTGATCACCAGTTCTTCTAACTCTCAGAGTTCAAATTCCCTTTCAAAGAATATTCCTCCCACAAAAATAAGACTCCCATCCTATTGGGAGGAATGGAGGAGGAGATGGCTTTCAAGACACCTGGTGTGGAGGCAAGAGGAAGGTGAAGGCCATCCATCAGCAGTGAAGCCATCCTTCTTCCCTCCCCGACACCTGAGCTGACACACCCCAGCCTCTCTGTAAGTCCCCTTTTCTCACCTGGCAGTTGAGAATGTCATAAAGGAGGTCGTTCTTCTGGGCCAGGTGGCTCAGCAGTCGTACGACCTGCACCTGCAGAGGGAGAAAAGCAGCAGAAGGC